AAATTCCTGACAATTCTGAATTGACTTGAAGAACCACCTCTACCTAGTTACATAACCAGTTTTACTTCCAGTAAAATTTGACTCAACTTTTAAAAGCAAGTGAAGAATAATAGGAAAAACGTTCAAAAGCAACATTTAGCAATAAATACATTCGCTGATGAGGATCTTTTTTAGGTTGAAGTTTATGTAGGTCGTCTAAACTAATGTTAGTTTTTATCATGAACTGACGCCAGCTGGGTAATAATGGTAAATAGTCGCAATGTGAGACAAAACAGCTATTTAATACATCTTGATTTAAAATGGGTTTTTTCTCCTGGTCTCAGTACGCTATGAAAGATAACTTAGAATTAATATCTAGGTTTAAGTCTCCTGAAACTTGTAGCTCCCTTAATACTGGACAGAGTTTACTTCGGAGATGTTTTAAATATATATAATGGGTAATATGACTGTACTGCCTGTGAAACTCCCACATATTATGTTGGCCACATGATTTGACCTTATATTCAATGGCAAATTTACGCGAAATGGAGTATTTTTACGTTATCAAGGTTAGAGCAATATCTATGCTCAATAAACAGCTTAGTTTATGCTATCAAGCTGAACCACTCAAATGTAACAAACAGTTGTGTTTCCATTTACATATCTCAATAAGTAAATTCTTAATTACCAGATAAATTCGTGATGATTGGTTTCACATGCCATCCTGAAAATAAATCATATATACGGTAAACAGCATTTATTCTAGTCACAAATCTACAATTTGTAAGAAGTACGATGCATACGACCTGACAAGAAACAATCTAATCATAATCATCCAGTGATTTACCCTACTAATCAGTTAAGCGTGCCCCTACAAGGAGAAGGGATCATCCGGTTTTTTGTAATAAGGCGATGAACTCAGGAAATAGTTAGATGCGATTAAAATATACATCTTTTAATTTACGGTAATTGATAGTTATAATTCATTTCTTTTTGTTCCATGAACACTAAATTTACTTACTGCACTGTGGAAATACATGTCAGAAACTTTATACTCATAGAACCATATACCAAGGAAATTCATTTCCAGCCACATAGCATCATATGCCATCAAATCGATTGGGAGTTAGAAAGTTCTGGCATACATTTCTGTGTCTGCCCTTGAGCCGTCTGGGCTCGAAAAAACAAAAGATCAATTGTTACATTGTTCTAGATGGGCTGAGGTCTAGTATATTGAATTTAACAGTCAACAACATCAAACTCACTTGTTAGAAATTTCCAAAAAAGAGCATCGAAACATCCAACTTACTATGTAACATGAAAAGATTGATAAGATCCACTTAGGACTGAGAGTAGGTGGTAAAATACAACGACCGGTTTATTAAAAGAATTAATGAAGTGACTTATACCTGAACTTTAGTAGTCATTGCCCAGCCAATTCCAAGAATACGTTGATAAAAGCACTGTTTTACGGAGTAGAAAGAATATATAACCATCAAATTCAGAGGAGGATTGATGCGTGTTGGACGTTACTATGATATATATGGTTTTTATGAAAGTTTGTCCATAAATACGGAGAAACTATAGACAAAAGTCTAAATACACTACATTCAGTAAAAATTTCATCTTTATCCACACTAACCTCGAAGATGATAACATTGCAAGAACAATCAATGAAGTGCCTGACAGTGCACTAAATGGAACGTACCATAAAGCTGCATTTTCCATTCTATGTAGAACACACACAAACTCAGTCAAATCCGGTAAGTCCGCTTTTATGTTGCTATTAAATGCATGCATACACCGATTTCAACCCGTTAAAAGAGTAATATAAGAAAAACAGCGACAAAAAACTGGTTTGTGCTTCCTAAATATTTCCCAAAACATTTTCGCTAACGAAGTAAGGATGCTGATGGTAACACTTTTATTTATCTCATAGACAAGCTGTTGCTATTATACGTCCTAAACCTGACCCACATTTTCTAAAACAGTCAATCGTCAATCTTTTTTGTTTATGAAAATAATTGAGTGGCTGACAAAATAACTAAGTAAGGGTGGCAAATAAACTTTTAAGTTGAAAGTCATGCCTAGTTTTCTTAGGTTACATTATGAAATTTATCACTGCATATTCTAATTCAATCATTTGTTGGTGAAAATATCCCTTAATACTAGTCCGTCTACTAACTCCCATCTCTCTATTACTTTGTTAGTCATTCCCGACAGAATTTAGAGACGACTTTCGATTGATAATATCACAATCCAACACACTGTTGCTTGATCGGTACAGATTTTATTATTATTGTTAGACATATATATTGTTATACAGTACTGATGAAAAACTAATCATTATCACCCACGTAACTTAGCTTTTATTTAAATATACCATATTATTCGATGCCTTCTTCAATATGGCTAGTGTGACATATCAATTTTTATCCTTTTTAAAATTATTAGTTTTATTTTGGACTGACCAACGAGAACAAAACATTAAAACTGCGGCAAATTGTACCTTTTGATTACTACAGTAGTTTCATTGAGAGCTACATTCATCATTTAAAGTAACTGAGAAAAAAGCTACACCGAAGTTCAGAATTTATCTCTCCTATCGCGATTTTTCGTAGTAGTCGCGTAAGCCAACCATCGTATGGTCTTTGAAGAACGATAAGCGTACTAACAGATTTTGCAAGTCCACTATGCCACACACTTTAGCAACATGGTTCAACTTAATGCGCACAAAATGTTCATTTATATTGCAATAAATACTACATAGACAGCATACTCTAATCAGTTCCGTATCTACACACAGCTAAGTATTCAACTTGTGTGCATGTTAGCAAACAAGAACTTTATTAAAAAGGCTTTCGATAGTTTCTAATTAAAGATTAATTTTCGGTGGAAAATTATAAATGTTCATTGTCAATTAGTACTTTACACACGATATGTTTCATTGTGACCGAAGAGCAGTTCAAATACAATAAGTAATATTAATAGATAGTTGATCAGCGTCTTTTAACAACTATCATGAAGATTCTGAATTACGCAAAAGTGCATTCTATGGTATTTTTTTAAATAAATGACCTTACGCTAATATGAGGTGCAGAATATGTATTATTTGATAAACACATAAATAACTCCGAGATAATATAACATCGAAGTGTCAGATTATGACAAAAATAGTCTCAAGCATCAAAAATTCCAAACGCCGACTGAAATTTGTCTACAAAACGTGAAAAAGAAGAAAGACAGAACCAACTGTTCATAAAATGATTACAAATCTCAACTTATCACTGGGAAACGTTATTACTGAGCTACCCGAAATTTTTACTTTGGGATTACGTTACATCTAGATTGGCTACTATTATTGAAAATAATCATTAGACTAAATGCAAGAAGAACCAGCTTTTATGTTCTAGATCATAACAGACCAGCACGACAAACTCGGTAACGCAAAAAAGTGTATTTAAAAGGTAGCACTAGATTATATAGATTTTCGGCCTAAAAATCTTTAAAGCTCCTGATAGAACTATTCAGATTGGACACTGGTGATAACTATACGATGGAGACAATAAATAATTTTCCTGTACCTAAACCATCGTAAAATACTATTTACCTACCACGTTGTTTCTTTGGTTTCAGTATACAGAAAGACTATGAAAAATACCTCGTATGAAGCTAAAGGGTCAAACAAACACGATGGTTTATCTTTGGATATTAATTAAAATCCTAAAAAATTTGCCTGAACGTCCTGAACAAACCTATGTCAGTAGATCTTGGCATAGGGTTGATAAAGTGTGTTATGTTTAGGATAAGTCCAAATAAACATCAAATATAGAGGGTCGACCATTTTGGCAGGTAGAAAAACACTATAACAACTCAGACAAATATATTGTTTATTATTTAATTAAAACGTCTAATCAAACGGGAAAAACAGTTTAGGCTTTATAGTTTATTTATCAGATATATTTACAAAGAGCTACCAGTTTTAATTTTAAAACACGAGCTTTTTTGAAATAAATCGCCATTTTGATGACTTACAGCCAAGCATTTGATCTTATAGTGAGCGATATAGACAAAAAAGCTTAGATTTCCGCAGTTTGGTCACATACATAGTTTGATCTTATTTGTTTCGCTAACAATCCTAAACCTAGGATAAAAGTTCCCAAATATGGCTGTGTCTTAGCTGTGTGTGGACAAATACGTTGTTTTTATTCATTGATAAATTCTCCCTACTCTACAAATGCACTACTAGACACAATTCAAACCTTTAGAACAACACTTAGAGAGACCATTAAAAACTATTTTACTTTTTACTCGTATCTTGTTTCTGCTTACAAAACCAGTGAACTTATTTGTTTAATCTGAAAATTATATCCATTCGTGCGCGTCCCAGATTATGTATACTCAGTTATTATAATCTCATCAGTGTTCGAAAAATAAAAATGTTTGGACCTGATGTATAACCTAGAGGATAAATATTTTCCCCAAATATTTTATTGGTGAAACTGCATGTAACCATGCCAACGAAACACTTCAAAAACGGCTTCATCGTTCGTTATTAATTTGAATAAATATGTCATATAATTGTTTCGTATGTAGCTTCAGCAGTATGAGTTTTAAATGCTATATGAGGAACAAAAATCAGATCACCAGTGATGAAGACAAGATTGTTGGAGGACTGTGTTTATACTGGCTATTTTTTCAACTGGAAACTGAGAACGTGAATCAAGCAACCAGTTGTTTATAAAAATGGCTATGTGGCTCTTCAGAACTAAAATATACAACATTTTTAACCAGTTTCTGCCAAAATGATAGATTTTTCATCAATAACAAATCTAATGTCTACAAACGGTCCTACGGAGACTTGACAGAATCAAAATCCAGGCAACTTAGTAAACACTTTACGAAGACAGTAAAATTTCGAAAAATTGGTTGTCACCAAATTTTCAAACATGCAAAGGTGGACCATACAATATCATTCACATATCATGGGTGAATGATAGTTGCTCTTATAAATTCCTTACCTTGGTATTTATTTTACGGAGCTTATTCACATTTGTTCTCAAAACACGATAGACGCGTTGTTTATATTTCAACTAAAAAATAAATAATACCGAGAACAAAAAATTACCTCTACGTGACCAACCGAACCCTCGAAGGGATAGTCTAGTAACATTCTGTCTTCCTGCAAGAATTTTCCAGCTTTTCCTTTTGACGGAGGAAGAAACAGACCATAGTTCAACTCATCCTTCAAGCAAGAACTTGATCTTTTTATAGCTGTGAGTTTGACATCCACGATTAAATCGGTTGGGCTGAAACTAAATGTCTTCAGAAGGTTATCACACAAGTATTGCATTACTTCACTGGTCTCATCTGGCATGGTGACTCTAACGAAAACAAGACCTTGAGTAGGTGAATCATTTTGACTCCCATTCATGCTTATAGATAGTCCTGAGTCGCTATCACACATAATTAGTCCAAGTTATCTCTTCGTTTACAATGATAAGAAGAACCATTATCTCTGTGACATTGCGTTAACATATTGTCTGTTTAAAATATTGTGTAGGACGTTATATAACCTTCAAGGTAGTTGAAGAATAAAACAAAACTAAGTCCTTATTGGTAAATATCAATGACTGTTCAATATGTGTGTTGGTTCTCTGTTTTATCAAAGCGACAATACTTTACCTTTAGTTAGTGAAACTAGTTATTGCTGTCATCGGCAGGTAGCTTAGTTTTCTACTCAGGTTTTGTATTAATAAACTTAACAAGAAAAGTACACCATTCGACGAATGGTAATTCTCTTGGAGAGATTACTCTTACTTTTCTTTATGAGCTTACTAATTACCAAAATCTATTCGTTAGCCTCTAGTACTGCAGAAAATGTTTCCAAATTTGATAAGCGATGTTTAATGGGGGCATACATTTAGACGTCAGTTAGCTCGAACGATGTTGTCAATAGGCTCCCTAATTTTGTGTACCTATATCAGACCCTGATTTGATCGTTTTTGCCTGCTACAATCCTCGTATATAATTATGGACTAAGATCATGTTAGTAAAAAACTGAATTAAATAAATATATTATGTACACTCATTGATCTGGGCAGACAATCTGAGCAATGAAGCAAGGGAGGCGAAGAGAAGAGAGCGAGGCGAAATGACATGCAGTGGAGAAGGCCTGTAAGGTAACTCGATTTGATCAAACATTGATCGATATTTATAGCCAGACGAAAAATAAACTACTGACATATGATGAGTAGGATGAGAAGTGCATGTATATACGCTCATATTAAAGCAGTCAAGGTTGATAAACCAGTAATTACCTAGGCTAAAAAATGACTCAAATAGAATGAATAGATTGGCCTGTTCATAAGCTGGAACGATTTATATGGGCCTAACAACGAAACCGACACTACGCACGCGTTGAAATAGCCTCAGAAGTGCTTGTTAACAAGTAACGGTGATAGTGACGTGAATATTTTAATTAAATGCCCATCTACTGAGACAGAATTTAACAATTGACTGATACAGCGTATTATAGACTGTCTGGAAGCATAGCTAGCTACGGATGCTAATTACGTGTAATCATGACTATTTGCTCAACTCCTGGTCCATTTTTACCTGCCTATTTCTGTATTGCATATCATCACGATGGAACATTCAGCATACAAATATGGAATGCTTTCCTCTGTTTTATGCCATTATTCAAACATTCATATGCACCATAGCTAAAATCGCTTAGTTTAAATTCTGTAAAGGCTTTTTCCACAAGACGTTTGACATAACTATCACATAGCGACTTCCAAAAGAAAGCCAAAAGATGTTTTTATATGTATTTGAAATATTACTTCGCATCATAAATAGCTATACTTCACTTGTATAACTGTTCAACTTCCAGTAATCGTCCTAACGAAACAGAGAAAGTGCACTGATATTATTCTATTGTAATTGCAATCCTAACTCTTGAATTATACTTTTCAGATTTAACGTAATCAGAGATGTTACGATTCAACTTATCATCTAGTCTTATTTTCTATTTTTTTACAAGAAGTTCATGGCTGTCATAATTTGTTGATCAGAGTAGATCTGTAGAACTATGGTCTACTATGATATTAGTAAGGCTCTAATAATAGACCTAATCCTAAAATGGTAGATTTGTCATGATATAACTGCCTAATCTACAAGATCTTACGTGGAAGTTACATCATCGTCTACACCAACTCACTGTATCGTAACAACTACCAATACGTGATGAAGAACAAGCTTAGGCTAGAGAAGAACAATACATTTAGTATGAATAAAAGATATAAGGTAATATTCAGAAAGGACTACGCCTGCATGGCCGAGCCATGCCATTCGATCAACTCCAATTCATTTTCCCGCCTTCTCCATCGTTAAGTATTTCTCCGCGTCAAATATTGAATATCTATTTTCCGAGTAATCTCGTATTCAGCTTTGAGGTTTGTGTAGTTATGGTCCAATGTCACTACAGATCCTCCTTCAGTGTGACCGTTGTTAAATCACATATAAACGTTTAATTTTAACCATCAACTGACATGCCCCATATAACTTACTGCTATTAACGACGATGAAAAAGGCAGCCAAACTGGTATGTATTAAATTCTTGTTTAATTGATAGTTGTGGTTGTCTAATTTGAGTGTTGTATCCGAGTTATCAGATAGGCACCAGGTCCTCGATCTTACAATGTTGCAAGTTGTTCACATAATGTATAAAGGCCCTTCGTCCCAGTATGGGACTACTATAAAAGTGCGCATCCATAATCCCCGCTCTGAACTCAAACCCAGGACCCTCAATCTTGCATAGACGCTTCACTTTAGGCTGTAACAACTTAGGTTGATTTGTTAAGATTTGGCCGCAAACATCTTATTAATGACATAAGTGAAAAAGGCAAAAAGAACAGCAAGACTTGCGACCTTAAGAATGACTCATATGGCCGTAATTCTGGTAGAGTAGTCTTAAAAGAAAATCCTGCTATAGTTTATTAACACTTACAAATTATGGGAAGCACAGTTGCAATGATGACTTAGTGTTAAATCTAGGCAAAAGTTGATGCCGTGTATCTGGACATACACATTTTTTGGCTGTATGTCGTCCTAAACAGTATTTTTGGATTGTTTCAACCAAGGTATCTAGGAGATTGTGCTCACTTTAAAACTTATGAGAATTACTCACTTGAAATAATTAAGAAATAAAAATTAGTATGTGATAACAACAGAAAAAACCCATTAAACTACGCTATCGAATTAAACAAGGTTAATTCTTGCATTTTTATGACATTATAGGTTTCGTTTATTAGTTGGTTTAGTACAGATCCGAAAGGATTTAAATGAAATATAGGAAATCACTACAATCAACAATACCCATATTTTTTTATCTCAATAAAAGGAAATCAGGTGAACAACGTCAAGTTATAAAGCAACAAGAGATGAGGGCAAATAGCTAATGGTAGCGTCAGAATTATTGGAAGAAAAGTTGAATTTGATTTCTTTATTTCTAATAACTTCTAAGGCTCTTGACATAATTGTTAATATTTTAAAAGTAGATATATGCTGACTGCGTACCGAATTCGGTGGCCGGTGATGTTTTATCAAGCACAATCGATAGGAGAAAATGTACATGGTACCAACATATCCATGGAACACATGAGATTATTATTGATAGAACTAGTTGAACGAATCAGAGCTAATGGCGAAAATACCATTGAGTATCTTATATTTTGACAAGCCGAAGATAACAAAAAGAAAGGTGATTGTGCTTGTTTGGAAAACTATGTCTGATTCACATACAGAAGCAGTGGAATTTTAAACCTCAATACTAAATAGTTGAAGATGTAGAAGAAATCTGTGATAAACTGAAACTTGATGTAATGTAAGCCTTCAATTAAGAGCCTTCACGCACTTGGTGTCCAGTAGAACTAATATGGACAGCGTGAACAAGGAACGTTTTGGGGAAATTTTTATCTCCACAGGATACTTATTAAAACAGAAGCTGGATTTTGGAAAATTAATCAATAAAATTATGAAACAGTTGGTGAAGAAATTCCAGAGTCCACCTAGAATGCGACAGAGATGAATAAGAACAGCAAGCTGCATATTTCTTATTTGCCGTTACTCATGTGGGATATGCTAGAAATCTATTTGGTTATTTGACTTGTAATACCTTAATACTAAAGTTAATCCCTCTATTAAACCAAGTCGAAAGGTATAGATGCCTGACGTGCATATTCTTATACTATCCAATAATCAATATTATGCATTATGACACAAGACATACTTAATAGCTGGAGTTCTCTATGAAATAAATACTTCACTCTGTCTATCGCCAGAACGTGGGATAAATTAAAAGTAGGCAATAGCAACCGATCAAAAATCAACGTGCAACAATAACCATGGAAGTTAAGGGTTTATTTAAAACATGTATTCAATGTCGAACAGGCTGTTAAAAAAGTACAGTAAGACTAAGAAAAGTTATAATTTTAGATGGCTGTGATAATTTTAGTCGTGTTGCAATGATCTTATAGAACAATCTCTTCTGATCCCGATAAAAGTATTGAAGTTATATACCAGCAAATAACATCTGTAACTAAACTACTAGTAGTTTAAAATAGATAGTACTTCCACGTTGTTGAAAGCGCGTTGTTTACGTACGGTGATTTTCATCTCGATCTGTTTCAGGAAGATAACTGGCAAGTCAAAGGCCCTACATTACATATGGTTGGTGTCGAGTGACCTTGATGATGATTTAAGAAGACAATGCAGTATAATATTGACTTAAGCAAGAGAGTGTTGATCGGAGATTCGAAAGACAGCTCTTAACTTCAAGGCGAGATCCAGATTTAGCATTCATGTAAGTGAAAGAACTGTTTAGTTGATTAGCAATTTGCTCTAATTCAGACATGTACCAGCACAACTTTGTGGCACGTGGTCCTAGTAAAAAAATAAAGTGGACTGCAAACATGATTTATTGTGATATACAGAAGTGATTAAATTCAGTATGACAAATAGTAATTCCTAGAACAGTCTAATTAGTACTCTAATAGTCACGTGTAAGTCACTGTCAAAGTCAAAGAAAATGCCAATAATACAACCAAAGTGACGTTTTTGTAGTTCGAACTAGGCGCAAAATAATGTACGAAAGAATTTTTATTTAGCATAATTACAAATATTATCAAAATCGAAGGTTAATCTTGTTTTAAAGACATGTCAACCAGAAAATCACAGGAAAAGTAAAGATTATATTATGTGCATAAAATGTAAGCCCTTTGATTTCTAAATAGACATCATGATTCTCGTCAATCTTAACTGATGTGACAGTTTCTCATCCTTACGAGGTTAATGAAACGTTGAGTCTGCAGTTGAGAATGCATTGCTTCCCAAAAGTACTTGTTCTGTGCGGTTGTTTATTATTGCGGCTATATTTTAGAATGATGAGTGGCGTACAGCCTACACTTTCGAGTGGCTAGATTTTTCGCTTTTCTACGACTAAGTAAGCAATATTAGGATTATTCATGATGTATGGTATATGTCTGCTCTTCAAACTAGAATAAGCATAACACTAAAGTAAAGAAACGTCTAGTTTCGACAGTTCAAAACGGCAACAAACTTACGGCTTACATCTTCATTAAGTATAATGACACGACCTCCTCTTCATTATAAGTATGTTGTACTGATCAAAAACTTACTTTGACACGTGAGCCTGATATCATGTAGGAGAAATGTTTTTAAAAGGTGATTAAGAGTAGGGCGAACAAAAAGTTATTTGGATTCAGGAGAAAAGCACTTCCATTTTGTCCACAACTGTCGCAGCTGTGATCTGTGCATCATAGAAGAACAAATGGTGTTGAATCATTATGTCAGGATGTTTCCATTTAGTAGCTGGACACAAAAAACCCATATGAGAAGTGTATTTTAACGTTTCTGTGTTAAGAATCCAGATCTGACACCTCAAGCTGACTCGTCCTAAACTAGGCTTTTGATATATCGACTCAGTAGTACCCAGTAGACGTGATAGAGGTTCCTACTCAAGCCGGATCGGAATTGTTTTAAATCCTTGAGACTTCTGAAAGGTGGACACAAAGTTCACGCTTTTCCATATATACAAATCGTTATTTTAATTCAACATAACTCAAGTTTAAAACTGAGATGCGGTTGAAATCTGCAAATCTTAAATTAATTTTACTCCCAATGAAAATTTAACGAGGCATTGGACTGCTGGAGTTGATGTGTTGGTGTTTATTCGTTTCGGTAATATATGTGGAAATTCAATTACGTTGCTAATGTAAATTGTTGAGAATCATGTTGGAATTCTCGTGGGATAAAATCGCGAAGTTAAATGAAGCTGACATAGATATAGACAATTCAAACTATTACTGCCAATTGTTTTTAGATGTATGCACAGATTCTCCCCATTATATGATTATTTCAGGCTAATGTTGAGGACTGGGATGATAGTGATCGACTTAAGCATGTTTTTCAAATTACTCAGACGTTGCTTAACCTAAAATGGGAACAATGGAAGTTATCAGAGACAAGCTTGACGGACAAAACCTCGGAAATAAATAATCTGAAAGATCAAATAAGGGAACTAGAACAAGAAAACAAAGATTTGCAAAAAGCAATTTCTGCGTCTGGTCTTGATAGAGGAAGCATTGGTGAGACGAGGAGACTTGAGTTTAAAGTCGTCAAACTCCAATCTGAACTAGAATCTTTAAGGATAGCCAAAGACGCTTCTTTTAAGGAAAAAGAAGAACTTTTGAATGAAAAAGGTGATCTGGAAAGAAAAGTGGAAATGGTTTCAAAAGAAAATAAGGAACTTCAGGAGCGTTGTGAGTACTTGCACCTTCAGCTCCAGGATCGACCCAGCTTTTTCGGTAAAAGTAATGATGAGGCTAACTACAGAAAAGAAATTTCCTCCTTACGTGCAAAAATAAGGGTACAGAAAGCTGAAATAGATGTAAGAATCATAGTTATTTAACTATTTGATCAGGGATTAGAAGATGAAAAACAGAATTTATGGAGTGATGTTAATCGTTTGGAGAGCAACCTCCGGCAAGCCAGCATGGAAATCGATCGCGCCACCGATGACTATGTGAAAATGAAAGAAGCCTTAGCAGAAGCTGATAAAAGTCACGCAGAAAAGTCGGCTGAATGCAGTATGTTGCGCGCTCAGTTAGCCAATCTTTCCGAAAAGATTGGTCATCCTGAAGAAACAAATAACCTTATCATGAGTGTTGTTGAACAGAAGATTGAGGAATGGAAAGAGGTACTGAAATTCATTTCTCAGTAATTTTTAGATACTGGCAGACAAAGACATGGAAATAGTTAAGCTTAATGAACGAATAATAGAGTTTTCTCAGGAATTGCGAGATCTTAAAGCTGACTCCGATAAAACCAGTGTACAAGCCCTAATGAAGTCCATAAAAGATCGTGATGTTCAAGTAACTAAAATGATTACTATGTTTTTTGATCACATTTATGAGTATTTTCACTCTATTTATGACTAAAATCTGGTACATATTTGTGCGTTTTAAAGATCATGCATTAACTTCTCAGGGTAAATAGTTATGATAGTTTATGCCTTACATTCTCTCAATTCATCTGCTTTTTGTTCAGGTGATGAAAGTCGATGAGTACAAACCACTACACAACCTAGGATTCGTTTAGTACAACAAAGCGTTAGCCATGTATATTTGTTTAAAACAAAAGCTTTTAAAATACTGTACATGAATAGGTCGATTGCACAAAATTAATCACTGAGAAGGGTACATTATGGTTCCGAACGAGATAATGGGTTGCAGTAGGGACATGAGTGGAAAGCAAAGTGAATAGGCCTATTGAAAACAAAAATTGTAAGAAACACAATGTGCAAACGAAAATGCGAAGGGTTTGAATTATTGGGTTTTTTTAACTTGAGGTGTTTTTGTTTAGTGAAGTTCTTAGGGCTAAAACTGGGCATTAAACGTCGGCTGTATAATCCACTGACGTATTTTGGTACGTCTGAATGTCTTTAATTAAACTTACATAGTATTTTGATCAATAATTGAAGGTGCTGGGCAGAATGGTTCAGGATCGTCTTTGGTAAAGCAGTTGAAACCATCTACTATAATCTCCCAAAGTTTGGGTAAAAGTGCCATTTCTATTCCTTGATTTAATTGTTTCATCCTTATTAATCTGTATTCTAAATTTTTAGATACCAGTTGACATCGTTTATCCTCTTTGACTTCCTGTCCTGTAAATTTTCGTTCTTGCTGTTCTAATACGAGGTGTTTCATTTTAAACTTAAACTCATTTGTCCCAGGCCCTGCATTGATGTGGACTGGTTGGTTTATTTTGGGGAGTCCTTGGCATGTATATGGGCATCTAGTGAATAAGTAAATGCTAAAAATCCGAACAAACATGCTTAGAGAACAATGAATAGTGGCAACAGCTCAGTTTTTGACTAATCAAAGGCGTACGGAATGATCGTGTGCAGTGGTAAGATTTGGAAGCAAAGGAGTTAGAAAAGATGGCAGCGATGGGTAACACTAAATAATTATTTCGACTCATCAGGGAAACGGGTGTTAAAAATTCATCTGTTAGCCACATTAATTCACTGTTAGTCCGGGATATAATATTGATGATTAGAAAACTTAAAAGAGCGGTTCAAATGGCATCTGAATACCCTCCAGTTAGCTACTATCTCTTACGAATGTAAATGGGAGATCAACATTAGTTTTTCAACTCTCAGCTAGGTTGTAAAGATTGTATCTAATTTAAAAAAATCGAGAGCAATAGAATTTGATAGGTTATGTTAAATCTTTATGTATAGTGATTATTTTTTAGGTAAGTAAACTACGATACTAGTTCGAGAACTGGGAGTGGTCTAATCTAACTAGTATTGATCGTTGAGCACCCAAGTTTATACGAAACAACTCTAATCACGTTAGGGTATGAGATAAAAAAGTGACGAGGAAATTCGGAAATTAGTAATTTATACATACTACGTTCATGACGCTACAGAATACACCATAAATTTCTCAGATAGACAACTGAAAATTGAGATTGATGTTTTTTAGACTTTTTTCACATCAACGTTGTCGGTTTTCTGTTGTTTGTATGAAAAATCCACTGTGACTTTAATGTACTCTTACAAAGCCATCGTAAAGTCATCAAAAAGTACACGACACCTCAAATCTGTGTTCATAGGCTACGGATATCTGTAAATCCAATCTTTGTAGCCCATATGTGGCGGTTTACTGAAATGTATTCAAATGTTGAATATCACTGTAAATAAGGAAATATTCAATTGCTAATTTAAACCGATTCCACGAATATCGGTCTGTGAGACATTAGTGTGTCGTTTATCCTCATAAAACATATCTAGCTAATTATTCAAGCCAAATATTATTTATAATCTTACGTCATGTAAAATTTGTGTTATTGGTTTCAAATAGATACACTCCCTAAAAAAACAACTTACGGATGCTACAAATGAAGTTGAGAAAAGCACAACTCTTTTAAACGAACTCGCAAAGCAAGCAAATGAGAATGAATTTGATCCTAGTAGTCGCAAAGCTGAACGTATTGTTGTCCTTAGAAAACAACTTCAAGAAAAAGAAAACCTTAACACCGAACTGGAGAAAAGGTTGGAGCTTGTAGGTTATGAAGATATTTTTTGAAAACCTGACTGTATACACCTTCATGCTTTCACTTGTTGTCTTGAGAATATACCGGGTTGTTTTTTAATATAAGAAATTTTATTTTGTTTGGTGAAGAAATTCTACACTAACCATATATATGCCTATTACAAAAAAGATGACCCCATGATGTCTTTTCTCAGTAAACCTTGTAAGTCGCTGACATTATCACAAGAGCTTAAAGCTTTACTTTATCTGAATAAATTTGGTTGTTATTATGATTAAAGTAGATAAAAGCATAAACTCGTTAGCGCCATTTGTTTTAGCCCTAAATTTTTTGAACACTGCATCGCTTCGAGAACAATTTAGCCTAGATTCTCTCAATACTTAGTGTTTAATTGTGGTCGCTTGTTTTAGATTGGTCGAATCGATGGTAGATATGGTAAATCCTCATGTGCTGCACATTTAGGTTGGCAAGTTTATTGGGAGTTCTGCTGCTCTTGTCGAATAATTTAAGATGAATACCTACGTTTCTCACCTCTAAATACGTCTTTTAGCATTACATATACATAGATTAAAACACCTTTATGTCATAAATCTAAGATATCTTTTGACTAAGTTGGATAGTATTTGTTTTTAGTTTATTGTCAATGAAGGTTGTGAGACTGACAAATTACGCTTATTATTATACCCGCGACAGTAAGTATCAGATACAACTTCTAGCTGGCAAAACAAACAGATGAGATGTGAATCCTTCTAGCATGGAATTTCCTGTCAAGAGTTTGAGGCTGTTACACAGAATATACTTCCCTATAAGTCTGTCTGTTTTGAATTGAACTTAGAAGTATAGTTAGTTAACTAAAGTGCTGGATAAAAATGTTTTTATTGTGTTAAATCATATTTGGAAAACACTTTGAGGATTTTCACATCACATAAAATTCATTTTAGGGCTTTTGCTAAATGGTCACAAGATTAAATTGCCAAAAGGCGTAAGTGGCTGCATTTTTTCATGAAGAATTTATTTGAGGTGTGTTAGCACTCATGTTATAACTTGTAACCGCCGATTAGAGGGCAGTGAATTATCGATCGGACCAAGGAGACGCAAAACATGTGAGAGCAGTCTAGAGTCTTGATTGGTCCTGCTTTCCACCTAGCCCACCCAGTTAAGTCCAGAACACCAATCTCAGCCTCTGCGATATGAATCCTGTGTTTTAAACATACTCTGTTTATATACCACATCGTACCATAAAATAGAAAATAACATTTGTACAAGATTTAGCCAGATGTGGCTGTGAATGAGAGAGGTAGTAATTAATATACTGGGTATAACTCAAGAATGGTAAAATGTATAATAATAGTTTATGGGTCAAAATAGAGCTTATAATAAGAGGAATATGAATATGCATGGTTTAGTTACTCAATAATTATACAATAGAAATATACGTTTATTATTGGTCCATCAATAGATCCCAAAAGTTAACATTTATTATTCTTGTCGGGACATAACAACTTATATATATTAAAACACTGCCAACTATACAGATTGGTGATTTTCATGTATTTCTTCCTGATATTCCTCAAGTATGTCCCTTTATTTTCTGCAAGAAATTACAGTGAACCCAATATTATATGACAGAGCAGACAGTTAATTTCGATACAGTTAGTAAACTGCTTTCAAATGTTGCTTCAGCTTGTCCCAATCATTCAGAACTTAATCAGTCGATTTATTCTTCATGTAATCAGGCTGAAGAAGCTGCTCAGTCTCAAGCCAACGAGGTAACTATTTTAGAAAAGCAACTAAAACGTTATGAAGAAGGAGAGTATGGTTTATCAGAAGCTATTGCTGAATTAAAAGCTACTAGATTACAATTAAACTCAAAAGAAAGACAATTGGAAGAGGTTTGTCGTCTAGCAAGTCAAGCTGAATCATCTCTTAATGAAATAAATTTAGAAAATGAACATTTAAGAAGTAAGCTGGGAATACCATTGATTGAAAAAATTGATCTGAATGGCTACCGTCGTCAAAAACGAGCAGAAGTTGAAGAAGATCGTGCCGTAAATATAATATTACAAAAAGAAGTACGTAAACACTTTTTATGCACTTTTTGAAAGTGAAGTAGATATTTGTGTTCAATGCCTTGCCTTCACTCTGTAGCTTCATATGGAAAGTTTTATTTTATTTTATCTTCGTACAATTAAGCGGTAATCTGACTTCAACAGGTTATAAAGATATTTCGTATATTGTTCAATAATTTTATGATATTATTCGATACACATACGAATGATGAAGTTTGTATATGTACACATGTAAACCACGTTTATTAATTAACTTTGCTGAGTTCTTGAGATTCACTTTTAATTATTCCTTCTGCACATTCTGATCTAAGTATATATTTTAGTGCACACATTCTTGCGGGCAAAATGTCTAAAGCTCCTCAGCAGTTTAGTCATTTCACCTCAATATTTGAAGAACCTACAAATTTCATATTAGACTTATCAACCAATTAAATTATATAAGTCATCTTTAGCGACATATAAAAATAAATTAGGGTGACAGAAATCACTGTATGGTACCACAAGAAAGCACACCACTATCAGTTGACAAACAAGAGAATAAAATCTAGTAAAATTTTGTTTCAGGACCACAGACAAAATCGTAATTATCTTAGTCTAAGTATCATATTCTTACTCTGTTGGAAAAATGAACCCCAAATAAAATAAATACAATCGAAAAGTTGGTTTGATAATAAGATTTCTTATTATTGTCTGATTCACATATTATTAAGCATTCATAGTTATCGTTCAATGACCGTGTGAGTAAAATCCTGACATAACAGTATATGAAATTAAAAATGTTTGCTATATTTTAGGCATTGGGTATATTGTTATTACCTAATAAAAAATAATGAGAATTAATTTATGATCTATATGTCTAGAGATAATTTAGCATGTCTAAATTGTTGTCAATTTAAATGTGCATAATTAGATCGAAAAACTGGAAGACGAAAGGTTGGAGCTGAAACGTAAACTACGTACATTTGCACGTCAGTTAGGCCAACAATATGGTTCATCAGATTTGCACGTGGATGGAGTACTCTTAGGTAATTTAAACCAAGGTAAGCTCTAAACAACTAGAACTTAGTATCTCTTTCTGATACATTAGCTAACTACTCAATGATTATATATTAGCTATATTCATACTTTGTTTCAAGTACATTCATAATAAATTTGCCACAAAGAGAGAAAACTAATCGACAGAACATTTTGAATTTAATTCACTAAATTAACCAACACAGTTGGTTAAGCACAACATCACAAAACAAATCAAATAGTATCATAATCATGAGAAAGCGACTAATTTGACAAAATTCAAGTACTCAACTGTTCAAAAGAAGAAATCCATATCGGATAACAAATAGATAATCATGAATGAAAATAATGTTACTAAGCAACTAAGGTTCATTTATTTCATTTATGTCAGGAAATAAATTAAGACCTCTAAGAGAAGCGAAAGTTGCAACAGTTTAAGATTGCTGTAAATCCTTAAATCTTCTCTGGTTTTCTCCTTTACCTTATTTTCTCTATTTTATGCCCTTAAATCAAGTTTAGCGTAAATGGTCTATGTCGTCTCTTGTCTGTTATCTGATTTTCAAAACTTAAAAAAATAATCCACAACTTGTCAATGAGGGTATGTGGAGATTGTTGGATTCTATTGAAATTATGAACCAATAAATGTTAGAGCACCATCGAAAACCCGGAAGCACTGGATGATAGAGTCGTCCAAGTGTAGGACTCCTCAACAGTGCGCAACCACAACCGCGCATGTGAGAACTGAACCCACAACCTTTGGTCTAGACAAAGTGAATTTGTTAGCCATATTATTGTAGTGGGAATTATTTATGACTACACACTGGGAACGATATTATTTGAGAATGACGATTAATTAAATTTCAGTTAAAAAAAGGCTCAACTAGACAGTGTACCACGTTTTTATATGATCGTATCCAACTTTACTCATAGTTACTTTTGAAAGACCGTAGATTAGAATCTACCTAGTATAGTTTTGCTTTTATT